CACACGGGCAACAGACGGCTCTGGTGCGACACAGTGGCTACCGGGAGTGAGTGCCCCGGAGTACAGGAGTAACAGGCTCCGCGGCTAAGACGAGCAGCAGGAGCAACGGACCCACAGGCGACGGCGCAACCGGCTCTCTGAGCTACCGGGAGTGAGTGCCCCGGAGTACAGGCGCTGCGTACGACACGACGGCAACCTCCCCTCAACCTCCCCCAACAGTCCCACACCCCTCGACACACACCCGCTGCTACACCGCTAGCTCCACTCCCCCTTCACCCCCCCTTAGTACCACTCCGACGGCTCCAACAGGTCCACCCCCCTCAGCGGCAGCTGCAGCACAGGGAGACGGAGGAGGAGGAGGAGCAGGGAACGGCACACAGAAGCTGCACCCCCATACCCCCCAACCCCAAACCCTAATCCAGGAGAACGGGCAGAAGGAGGGGTGGGGCGCCTTCAGAAGCACGGGGGGCAGCGGGGAGGGCAGGGGCAGCGAGGAACGGGCCGCCCACGGGCCTGGCACAGCCTCCCGAACCGCGCGCAGGCGGTCCGAGCCGCGCGCGGGCCTGGCGCAGCCCGTACGGGCCGCGCGCGTGCCTGGCGCAGCCCGTACGGGCCGCGCGCGGGCCTGGCGCAGCCCGTACGGGCCGCGCGCGGGCCTGGCGCAGCCCGTACGGGCCGCGCGCAGGCCTGGCGCAGCCCGTACGGGCCGCGCGCCGGGTGTACGGGCCGCGCGCAGGCCACGACGGGCGACGGGGGGCGACGCGCGGGTCCCCGTCGCCCGTCGCAGCGCCTCCCGGGGGCGACGCGCCGAGTGACGGGGCAGAAACCCGCCGCGCGCCTCGGGGCACACGGCGGGCAGAGAACCGCCGCGCGCCTCGGGGCGCACGGCGGGCAGAAAACCGCCGCGCGCCTCGGGGCGCACGGCGGGCTGAAAACCCTAGTTTCGACGCCGCGCACCACGGGGCGCGCGGCGGACAGGGAGTAGCAGTAGCAGCGGAAGCAGTGAAGTGGGCCCACAGGCCACGAACGTTAAGCTCTGATACCATGTCGAGATAAGCGGTAGTCTTAGGAGCCATAGCTAGGAGAGTCCTAGCTAGGCAAGAGAGTTTAGGCGAAAGAGGGGTTGCACTAGCAAGAATGGGGATACAAATAGCAAACCCTAGAAGGGTTGTACTCGCTACAGAGCACCCCACTACAGGCTAGAGCATAATATTCTGACAGGTTTGAGTATGTGAGGATCGAGGAACTAGTTCATAATCGTTCGAGTTAATTCATTAATCACTTGTAGCTATTCTATGGCTTGCTGTTGAGGAGTATCCCATTTATAGGGCGTATCCTTTTTTAGTAAGTTCGTCAGTGGCGCTGCTATCTTAGCGTACTGTGGCACAAACCTATTCTAGTAGTTGACGAAGCTTTAAACTGCTGCAACCCCTTCACGTTCTCGAAAAGTATCCACTCTTTTACGACCTCGATCTTTTGCCGGTCCACGTATACGCCCTCCGCACTCACCATGCGCCCGAGAAATTGCATCTTCTTCCATGCAAAGTCGCTTTTCGACAGCTTCATGTAGAACTTGGTCTTCCGCATGATCTCGAAGACTTTGCATAGATGCTCCACGTAATCTTTCAGGTTCTTGAAGTAGATGAGTATCTTGTTCAGGTATACTACCACGCACTCGTCCAGCAAGGGTTGCAGGATGTTATTCATCTCCACCTAGAACGTCGTCGGTGCATTGCAGAGTCCAAACGGCATCACTAAATATAATAGGAGTCGTATCTGGTACGAAATGCCATCTTGTGGACAACTTATCTGCCATTTTGATCTGCCAGTAATTCGACCGTAGGTCCAGCTTCGATAATACTGTTGCATCACGCAATTTGTCTAGAATATCATCTATGCGCGGTATGTGGTATTTGTTATTTGCTGTATGTTTGTTCAATATCCGGTAGTCGATGCAGATTCGTGAATTACCGTCTGGCTTAGGAGTGAAGAGAACCGGTGCGCTGAGGGAGCGGTAAATGGGCGAATTAGTTCTTTGTCCAGTAGGTAGGGATGAGCACGGGCCGGGCTAGGCCAGGCCATGGTTGGGCCATGCTGGGCCCTGCAAAAATCTGGGTCGGGCCAGGCCCGGCCCAACCCGGGCCGAATCAAAGAGATTGTGGCTCGTGCCTGGGCACGTTATGTGAAGCCATGGCCCGAGCCCTGCGTAACGGACTCGACCCCTGGCCCTCCACCCCAGTATCCTCAATGGCGCCCCTGTCGCACTGTCGGTGCGTGATGCCGCCACCCCAATGAGATTTTTAGGTGACCCGCGAAAGAGGAACGCAAAGTCATGGCGTCACCAATCCTCTCAGTGCTCAACCTGTGGCGCTGCCATGCGATGAGGTTCCTGCTCGCCGGAAACACGCGCTCGCTGGTAACAGACGAAGCCGGTATGGCAAGGTCGTCGCGGGCCATTGTCTTGAGAATGGGCATGTCGCGCTTGTCACGCCAGTACCCGAGAAGGAAGACGTTATGCACAAGCCCCTCCCGCATTTACCTCTCGATCTCGTCCCCCATGGACCCAGCCACCTCCCCCACCCTCCATGCTAGCCGCAAAACGTGCAAGCAAGCTAGAGCGGCTGTCAAAGTGCATGCCCTCATCCTCCTCCTCCTCATGTACAGCCTTTGTGGGCGCCCTCACTACCGCTGGAGGGGCAGGTGGTGCTACGCTAGCTGTTGCCAACCTCTGCGACGTCCGTTATGACTCCTAGCGCGATTGCACCAAGTGCAACACCGGATCCGGTGACACCTGCGTAACTATAGGCACACTTTACATCCCAAAGTACGCCAGCCTCAGGGCTGGATCGAGGAAGGTGGCGACCGTTAGCACGTCAGTGTTGTTGTCATAGTACTTCTGCAGGATGGGCAGGGCTGCTTGAACGAGATCACGAGGGAGATATGAGGGGGGTATCGTTCAAAATCTTCTCCAGTGTGTCGAGGAGAAGGTTGTAATACGACACAATGGTCGTCACGGTCGGGGAACGGCACTAAGAACCCCTTCAACGCCACCAGTGACGTGCCGTGATCATCAGTGAAGCGCAGGGCAGCGTACTTCACCTTCTCTTCACGTGTCGTGCCCTATTGTAAGGAGAGGGATGGAAGAGACGCAAATAGGGGTGGATGGTGCTGTGGGAGCAAGTATGGAACATGTATTGATGAAGAATTCAAGGCAAGCCATTGGAGTATGCTTGACAATATCGCTAAGATCACAGGCGACACTAACCTGCCTATGCACATATTATACACATGCACATGCCCATGCCATGCTCATACACGCTCATGCACATTCCATACACAAGCACATGCATATATACATCTTACATGAACCACATGTCCTTTGCAATGGGTGCAAAGTGGTCATCATCACTAGACAGCTCCTTGATGGCCGCGTCGTTGTTCGAGACGTTGTCGGTGGTGATACCATGATAACGCCCAACCAACCCCCATGCTCGAACTACCTCCTCAAATCGCTTTGAAATGTCTGCCCTTGTGTGACCCTCTGACATCTCCCCAAAATCGAAGGGAGATCCAGTGCACGATCACAACCATGTAACTGCGCCGAGTCATTGACGACCATATGTTTGTGGTGAAAGACACATTGAACAATGGCAAGACCTTCTCCTCCGACAGCTCTAGCTCAGCCCTGGCCAATGACCGTGCCATATCGACGTACCTCGTCACGTCACGAGCAACCATCCAGCGAGATGGAAGGACATTTGGCTTCCCGCAGAGAGGGTTGGCCATTGTGAGCATTTCTTTGAACTGTGGGACATGCGAAGCGTTTATAATGGGGTTACACAAGAGGATAACAGATGGAATTTGGTTGTGGTGAGGATGGGGTGGGGTGTGGAGAGATTGTGCTCACATACAACATACACCATGACATGAGGTTGTTTAAGGCCAGAACGCGCACAATGATCTTGTCAATCCTTACCGCGTCATTGTCGACGACGCGGAAGGAGCTGTAGGCCATCGCCACGAATGCTTCGCAATGGCAGCTCGCGACTCCTTTTTCGCCAACTTTGGCGCCATCAACTGCTCTATCGTACCCTGCCCCCAACCGACTGCCCCTTCCATAAGAACCTCAGTAGGGACGTTCAGGTACACATCCGCATAAGGCCATTCCTTGCCATAGTGGGGCACCGGGGTAGCAGACTTCAAGGAATATGGCGTCAGAGGGGACGAGGCCTTCCTCATACATCCGCTTCCAAATGGCGGAGTGCGTGTCGTGCCGCCCTCCGAGTGTGTGCTGCTCAGCTTTAATGAGATCCGAGTATCACCTGTTACAGGGAGCAGGCCACCTGATGCTGGCAGAGGATCTAAATGTAGTGGCTGATCCGGTCATGGACAAAACCTCCAAACGGGGCTCGGAGGCTGAAAACGCGAGACTGCTGAACATCTGCTAACGATGGGACATGAAAGATACCTTCAGAACGCTGCACCCGACGAAGCTGGAGTACACCTTCCTGGCGCGCTCAACGATGACGAGCTCGCGCATCGATCGAGCGCTGGTGTCGCTCTCGTTGGTGCCTCTGGTGTCGGATGCGTATCACATGGCAGCTCCGGCGGGAGTCACTGACCACTGGTTCGGGATTACCACGGTGCTGGCAGCGACGACTGGGGAAGAGTGCGGCCCAGGACTGTGGAGGATGCATGCTGCGCAAGCAAAGAGTCAAGGGGTGCGGAGAACAATACAAACAGTGGTACAGAGTCAGACGGAGAGGGGAGGCAAGAGGTTGCAGTCCACTCTCACTACACTGCAAGCCAGCCTAAAAGCGCATGCCAGGGAAGAGCAGAAAAGAATAGGGAGAACTATCGCGCACCTGGAGGACAGGGTAGCAGCGCTAAGGCAAGAGTTCGTGGCGGATACCGGACAAGGGAACGAATATGAGGAACTGGTGAAATTTGAGGCACAGCTGAAGGCGTATAGGGACAGCCAGAGGAAAAGAAAACAAACGATGGCCGGTGTGGGAGAGGATTTGGAAGGGGAGATTGCGACGAGTTTCCTAACAAGCAGGATCGCGTCGAAGAAGGCCAAGACCACAATCAAGGAGATTGAGTATGACAGGAAAAGCTTCGCGGGGGAGAGGGAAGTGCTAACAGCAGCGTCGGATTTCTTCGCAAAGCTGTTTCGGGAACAAGGACATGAGGCGGACACGGAGGAGTGGCCGATGGACCCAAAGAAAGTGTTGGATGCAGAAGGAGCAGGTCGACTGGCAGCCCCGTGGTCAGAGGCGGAAGTGAAGAAGGCGATTAAGGAGCTTCCGAGAGGCAAGGCGTCGGGCGCGGACGGTTTGCCGAAGGAACTATTGGAGGACAGCTGGGATCTCCTGGGGGAGGTGGTGATGGACTTCATGAGGGAGTTTGAAAGGTCCTCGAAGCTGCCGGAGAGTTTTTCGACAGCAGTAATGATCCTGCTGCACAAGAAGGGAGAGAAGAAGGACTTGGGGAATTTCCGACCTATCACGCTACTGAGTGCGGTTTATAAAATACACTGAACCAAATATTTGTCCTTATGTATTCCAGTTGTACAATAATATGCACCGTTTATAAATATTACCGAGTATAGTGTTAAACACAATGCGTGCAGGTGTTGCGTCGAAGTGTTACCCACGTGCGAACGTGACCAAAGGCCCCGATTTCATGACTCGCTGTAACGAGCTCTATTTTCCCTCTCGACACCCCACACGGACAAATACTTACGATTTGTCCCGCGCTTCAGTTCGGCAGTAACTAGATCTAGAATAGTTAGTTACGCCTGCAATTAAGAGCTTCGTCGACGCTCTTTGCGTAGCGCTAATACCCCCGCATCATGAAGCGCCTTAGTTCGGAGAAACAGAAGCGTATCATGCAGCTAATTGCCGAGGGGCGTAGCTACCGCCAAATCGCTAAGGAGTTGAACGTTTCGAAGAGCGCAGTCCATGACGAGCTCATCCGCCACCTCGGTTCGAAGACGTACGAGGAACTAGTTCCGTCCCCGGCAAAACCAGGTCGCCCACGCAAGCTACCAGAGCAAATCGCTAGGATTATCGTTAGATCGATAGTTTCTGGCGAATCAAAATCCGCCGAGGCCGCCGCGGGAATGGTAGCTTTGACGCACGGCATTAGTGTCACTGGAGCCACCATTCGAAACACTCTCAAGCGGCACGGCGTGAAAGCGATAGAAAAGCAGTCTAAGCCACGCTTATCCGAGAAAACAGTGAAGGACCGCCGCCAGTGGGCCAAGGACCATCAGCATTGGACGGTCGATGATTTGAAAAGGGTGATTTGGAGTGACGAGACGAAGATATGCCGTTTTAGTAGCGACGGGCGTAGTTGGGCCTGGATTCGCGGGGAATGTCCCATGGAGCCGCACCATGTGAAACAGACCGTCAAACATGGCGGCGGCTCCATCATGATTTGGGGGTGCATGACATACCAGAGAGCCGGTTTTATGTGTAAGATAGAGGGGAGGATGAACGGGGAGTTATACCGTTCTATCCTTCAAGACGAACTGCAGCAGACAATAGAGCATTACGAACTGGACCCTGAGGCAGTAGTTTTCCAGCATGACAACGATCCCAAGCATACATGCAAAATGGTGAAAAGTTACCTAGCCGAGCAGCCCTACTCGGTTCTCCCTTGGCCAGCATCAAGTCCAGACCTCAACCCCATTGAGCATCTGTGGGTGTACTTGAAGAAGCAGCTGCTTGCTTACCCCCGCCCCACTGCAGGCATTCTCGAGCTGTGGGATAGAGTTCAAGTGGAATGGGAGAAGATCCCTGCGGCCTGGTGCAGTGAGCTGATCGACAGCATGCCTAGGCGTGTGCGGGCTGTGCTCAAGGCCAAGGGTCGCTGGACCAAGTACTAGATTCGGCTTTGTATGACTAGGAAATTGAAATTGTAAAAAAAATGTCCATATGATAGTATCTACTTATCTGTCTAACAGATGCTTGTTCAACAGTGTTAAAAGCCTTGAAGCCACGTGAGACGATGTACTACCCTCTGTGCTATAACTTTATGGCGGCCTTTTATTAAGGCTTAATCCCCGCTAGCTACCAAGCACATTTTTCTTTTAAAACATGAGCATGTGGACAATTATTTCGTTCAGTGTACATCGGACGGGAACACGGAACCGACATGGGAGAAGGCACTGATACGAGTAAACACAATACTGCGCAATTGGGAAAAGCTGCATCTGACCACGACGGCGAGAGTGACGGTGCTAAACATGTACGTGATGCCGGTGATCCTCTTTCAAGCGCAAGTGTGCCAACCGCTGAAGCAGCTATGGAAGAAGATCTTGAAGCTGTGCCATAACTTCATATCAAAAGGATGCGCGGACGAGGAAAAACATTTCATCCTCTGGAGCGAGTTCCTGGCGCACCTGGGAAGGAACGAAGGGGGGCTGGGGGTTATCAGTCCAACCGAAAGGGTCAACAACCAAGCGCTTTGGAACCTGGGAGCGATGCTGCTAGAAGGGAACCCAATGAAAAAGTGGCTTATGGAGTCAGCGGTGAACATGCCTCTGGGCTGGGCAACGCTGCTGGCACATAAGGCCATCCTGGTAGAGTGGAAGGGTGGCAGTGAACGGTGGAAGTCGCTGGTGCCGCTGCTGTGGGAGAAGCAACTGCCGAAGCTGCCGGAACCTGCAGACAGATGGGAGATGGAGCAGGAGCAGCTGTGGTTTAGCAACTGGATTCATTAGCCCCTTCGGGCAGCAAAAGGGCTCGGAATGCTTAAAAGGGATGAAGGTGGGGGACTTACTGATGGAGGTGTACGCCGGAGGCTGGAAAGTGAAAGATTTATGGACGCTGACTAAACAAACGGGGAGATCATCCACGGCGAGGTGGGCATTAGCGGCATGGAAGGCAGCCCCGGAAAAATGGAAAGAAAAATTGCTCGCGAAGGTGACGGCGACTGACATCGCAGAAACCACCACCCTGGTCAGAGTGGGTGGCACGGAGGGGAGGAGTCAGAATTATCTACAGGTGGCGCTGACTGAAAACAAGGTACTGAAGTGTGAAAGAGTGGAGGTGGACGTCAAAGGGAAAATTAAGCTGCTGGGAACGGATGTTCAGCCACCATCGATGCTCAGCATACTGACCCCGATGGTGGCCAAGGGAGGGTATGTGCTGGGGCAGGCAGGAGATCCGTTAACACGGCTGCGGGCTTCTTTCCTGTGCACGGAGGGCAAGCCTACGACGTAGAGGAAACTGAGACACCTGCTCAAGAAGCCGACGCAACAGCCTAAACAGCAGAAAAAGTGGGAGGAAAGCTGGGGGAGGAAGATTGACTGGGAGAAAGCCATCAGAAGAGGGACTTGCTGGTGGTCCCAGCCAAGGCAAGAGAGGTACTGTTGAGACTGCACAGCCACAACCTGCAAGTGGGCACAAGGCTGGCTTTTTTTGGCTCTCGTGCATGCTGCCCATACTGCAAGCAGGAGGAGTCACCTACGCACTGTTTGATGAGCTGCCCGGTGGTTAAAGGAATCTGTGGTGCGCTTCAAGACTCGCTTCGGTTGATAAATCCAACGAGGGCAGTGGGGACACTGGGAGAGCTGCTTTTTGCTGAGGACAACACTACTTCCGGTTTCCCAGAAACTACACTCATCGCAATCACTTTCAGACACATATGGCTGGAGAGGTGTGACGGGGTTTTCAGGAAGACAAGTTTTGAGCCCAGACGCGTGGCCAGGAAGATAGGAGCGAAATTCAGAAGGCACGTGCGAATCTACAGTGAAGGGTGTGTGGGCACCGACCTTCCTTTTCCCCTTCTTTCTCACTTGCCCCTCTCGCACCCCTCCCGCCTCCTTGTCTCCCTTCTTTCTCCTCCCTTCCCTCTACCCCCCTTCTTACCCTTGCACTTTTTCCCACCCCCCGCACCACCACGCTTTCCGCGTGAACCCACCTTAGGAGACTCCTCCTCCTCTAGATTCTCCATTTCGCCGTCCTCATTCCCGCCACCCCCCTCCTCGTCGTACTATGACTCGCTTTCCTCTTCGGATGAGTCACAGCCCCAAAAACTAGATGATGATGAACCGTTCTAGCCGGCACCTACCACCCTCCATCACCCTCCCCCTCCCCCTCCCCCCCCCCCACCCCCCCCCCCGCCTCCATAGTCACTTGCACCCCCTGGCACAGCTCTCCCCGTATTGAAGGCATTAATCCTGCGACCGGAGCATGATTAGCCCCTTCCCTAATCCAGCGAAAAGCGGTTCACCATCGAGAGTTGTTTGTTTCGCGCCGCGGGGCCGAACCTTTTTTTAGGCGCCACAACGAACTTCTAGTCGTAGGTACTAGTTAAAAAATAGTAGATAACGTGCTGGATGCTTAGTTCAGTATGGCTATTTAACAAAATGGCTATATCTAACCCTAGTAACAACCACAAACGCAGTATTTCAACAAACTATAAGCTAACTATAGCATTCCAACAGTTATCTTTTTTTTTTTTTTAACCTAGACTCGAAATGAAACCTTAAGAACGATTGTGGCGCGCGGCAAGTTCCGACTGAGAAATGTCTACTTCAGAGTGTCGCGACTAGGCCTTAGTCGCCCTTGACGTCAACCATTACAGCTAGTACGAGATTATAGGCTCTTGAATCGCTAATTTCTGAAAGTGGAGGTCGAAATCTGTCGCGCTGGCGGAGACTTAGGGTGGGTAAGCTGGAATATGAACTGCAAAAATGCCGTGCAGCCTAAATTCGACCCCCGCAACAAATTGTAGAGTGGGTCAAAACCGGGGCCTAAAGGCCCGACCCAGGTCGCACTTCGAGGCTGCCCGGCCCGGCCCGGCCCGTCACGGGCCGAAACCCAAAATCTGAGGCTCGGCTCGGGGCGATTCCATTCCGGCCTGGTTTGGGCCGGGCCCAGCTCTGTTTTTTTCTCATCCCTACCAGCAGGTATTCAATCTGTTTCTTCATGTCTGTCAGTTCGGTCGGACTAAGGCGGTATGGTGCACGGGAGACGGGTTTCGCACCTGGTTCCTCCATGATTTCGTGCTCGTAGGTTCGCGCTGGAGGCACTCCTACTGGCAGGTCATCCGGCATAATGTCCTTGCATTCTGTAAACTCCTTCTGAACTGCCGTCACCAGTGTCAAGTAACCCGTGTTACTCTCGTTCACCGTCTGTTCAAACCGTATAAGTATCGTCTCTGGTACATCCCCTGTATCAGTCAAGCTTCGCATCTCCACAAGTTCCCCGTTGTTGTGAATACTCGAGTGCAACGCTACGATGACTCGCAAAACCCCATACCCTCCTCTGTAGTCCACTCCCGTTGTGTAGTAACTCTTCGCATTAAGAAGATGGGAGAGTGTATTGAATGTACCGTTGCCCACTCCCGTTGTGTAGTGACTCTCTGCATTTAGAAGGTGGGAGAGTGTAATGAATATACAATTCATTACTGTAGTTCTGTTCCGAGCACTTCGCGCAAATGTGGCTCGCCCTACAGTTTTGCACTGAATCAGTTCTGAGTTTTCCCCACAATCGCAACATTTTCAACCCTTGCACATCACGAGGTT